TCCAGGTTTACTCACGTGACGAACTTTATTGATCCTCGTACGGAAAACTGTACAGCAATGGTTAATGTGGTAATAATCATGAGAAATCACTCTTTACTGCCGCTTTGACAGCTGGCAATTACCTAAATAAATAAGAATTTACTCTGAAATGGCACTTTCTTCACGCTCTCGCTGTGTTCTGGCGTCGAGCCACTCCAGCGCAATCAAGCACGACGGAGTTATTGCGTAATAAGCACTTTCCGAAGCAAGTCAAATTGAAGCGTTCAAATTAAAGCGCAATGACTCTTTCTTTTTTGGCGTTTTAATTTAGCAACAAGATCTAATTTTAATTTAATCGAAAAACACTGACAAAGTGAACTTCGGACTGCAAAGGAGCAAAAAAAAAAAAAAAAGATCCTGATTCTCATATTCTGCCTTTAATGCTTCTGACTGAAGCCAAGTCAGAGTTCTGTTCTCAGACTTGGATTTGTCTCCTTTAATCCTTCTCTGCCTCCACCAAGTGTTGTTCCTTAATTCTTTGTGTCCTCTCTCCTTTTGTTACAGGAAAGACTGTTTCTCACCATTTCCAACTACATCTTTACTGCCATCTTTGTTGCCGAGATGACGGTTAAGGTAAAATGCCAATTCCCCGCTCATCCCTTCTCCTTTCTTCTGTTTCTTTCCTCGCCTCTCCTCTCCTCTCCTCTCTCTCCTCCCTATTGTTCTGTTCCTCTCCTCAGCTCCTTTCTCAGCCTTGCATCTCATTTCATCTCCCTCTCCAGCATCCTCCTCTCTCATCTCCAACTCTCTGCTGCTGCTATCTCTTCTTCTTTCTCCAGCACATCCATAATTTTGCTCTTATCGCTTCACTTGAACCTTTTTTTTGATATCTTGTGATTTGCTCTCTGGTTTCTCTACTTCCTTCAGCCATCCTTCCATTCTTTCGTTACCTCTTCTCATTTCTTATCTCCCTTTTAGAGTTAATTCCCCGTCTCCCATCCCTCTTCCCCCCGTTTTTCTTTTCTTGACAATTCCACAACTCTGCGCTTTAATCAGTTGCACATTAGCGATGGGCAACCAGATAATGAAGTTAATTAGAAGGCTATCACTCTTCAGTTGGCCTTTAGCTACTCCTGGACTTCCCATCGATGAACGGACGCACACACACAAACATCCTCTTTTTTTAATCCGCTAATCTGCTGTCCAGAAGACATGGCATCATCTATTATTCAGGCCTTTGTGTCTTCAGGCCTTTTTTTTTTCCTCCGCATTGGTAGAAAATCCTGTAGTGATTTATTTATGATCAGGGATAATGAAGACATGTGTAGCACAGTGATGTATAGATCATCTCAGAGCCGTGGTGGTGCGGCGCTCACGTGTGCACATATATGCAACTGGCCCCACGTTGAACTTCACTTGCTGTGTAGTTTCTTTCTTCTACGTCTTCATCCCCCCGTTTTCATTTACTTCAATTCCCTCAAATAAGTCATCCAGTCACTCACAGTTGCTGCATCTTCTCCATGCCTCAGTCTTTTCATTCGTTTCATGTGTTTCTTATCATTGTCTCTGCTCATTTGTCCGTAGTTTGTCATTTAATCAGTGGACGTCCATTGTTATCTTCCTATGCACTGCTTCATTTGCAGATGTGGCCCCAGCTGCTGACGTTCTTATCTCACACATATCAGTGACTCCATTATGCAGTATTTGTCAGTGAATAGTCACAAATTCTGGGATTTTTTAATTTGTATTTTTTTGCAGATTTGCACACCTTCACATTATTTTCCATGTTTATGTGTTGAGTGTATAAGCCTATATGGAATGGAATAGTCTTTAGTTTTACATAAACAAAACAATTAATCCGTAAATGAACACACAGGAAAATGATGTCCTTCAGTGCTGTTTGTTTTCTCTTTTTGTCATTTCTAGAATAATCCAACGTTATATTCTTGTCACTGTATCTCACCCTCCTTCCATCCTCCCTCCTTCCCTCCCTCACTCCCTCCTTCCCTCCCTCCCTCCCCTCCTGTTGCTCTTAATCTGTTGTTCCTGGCTGGTCAGTCTGATCTCTCTCCAAGGAGCTCTCATTAAGCAACCGCACTAATTAAACAGGCTTTCTTCTCCCAGACACACCCCATCACGGGCTGCCTGTTCTCATCTCCTGTCCACACACACACACACACACACACACACACACACAGCTGAGTGGTAGTGATCAGTGTAAACAGCGCTACCTGCACATGCCGGGTGTGACCTTGAACACCAGGCTCTAATTAGAAACACACACACACATGCAGATATTCCTTGGATTCGTCAGTTAGACCAGTTGTTTCTTTGCGCTGTCGCGTCTCAAGTAGTTTGATTTTAAAACAGCAGCAACTTTCTGCATGGTCTCCAACTCGCGGCCCACGGCACGTCCCGCTTTGTATGAAAACACACATTTATTTTATTTATTTTAATTGCAATGATTCAAAGGTCGTGGTCAAAAAAGTGCGCGCAGGTCATGTGGGTGAAAGCAGACTATTGTATGCGCACAATTAAGTGAACAAAACAACAACATGATTGGAACAACAAGCTTTATCCCATCACATGAATCCTGTCCAACAATAATAAGCCTCGGAGCTTTACCCCCTTTTAATTAGAACCAATGGTGTTTGTGCAACAGCAACCTGTAACCGCAGCGTGCTGCGTTGTTTATTCAGACAAGCAGACAGAAATATTGCTGCTTATGTTTATTAGATTTTTAATTGTTGATAATGAGTTTTATTGTGTTTTATGCACAATTAAGGGAAAGTAGGGA